ACTTGCGAGTTTTTTTCGGCTTTATTTTTGTTGCTTGTTGGATAAGGACCTAAAAGGTCGATGCCGATAGAAAAATTGGGCAGTTCTTCGCTGGTTTCTTCCATATTTCAAAGAGAAGGAAAACTGCACTGCAGCTTAACAGGACGGAAACTCTGAAGCCAGGCGAAAAAAAATGCTCACGTCATCTTATTTGCGCACGGGCGTGCGTAAATAAAGATTTTGTTCACAGCAGCTCAATAGGACTTATAGAGCAAGCCATACTTAGCTTAGCCATACTCTGTCTATGCGTAAATAGATGTGTGGATGTACGCGGGAAGTTTGGAGAGCACGAGATACCTCTAAGTAACCGAGTTCGAGGGCCGCTGTACATGTTATGTCTGCAGCTTAACAGGACGGAAACTCTGAAGCCAGGTGAAAACAAATGCTCACGTCATCTTATTTACACACGGGCGTGCGTAAATAAAGATTTTGTTGGTAGCAGCTCAATATGACTTACATAGGGCAAGCACGCGCGCTATAATAAAGTTCGGATATAACGCACGCTGTTATTGGTTGAAAGAGCGTGCTCTATGAGAGTATAGAGCATAGAGCTGAGCTAAAGCTGTCACGAAATCTGCCAATTGTACTATGTTCGTCCTTTTCCGGGACTTCTCTTTAGCTTTTTCCGATAATTGAAAGTGAAATTTCGGAACTGAAGCGAGCCGGCAAGTAGCAACAGAAGAATCAACAAACTTAGGAAGCGGATAGAGCACTCAAGAAGTGGGAAAAAACACGCGACTACGTCTCGTGTTTCTCCCTACACTTCTTTCGTGCTCTAGCCGCTTCCTGCGTGCTTTATAACAGAACAGAGCACAGTCAAGGCTTCTCTATTTGTTAAATAAAGAATTGGTCCATGCTTAGCGTGCGAACATCGAGGTATGGATGTACCCGGGAAGTTTGAAGAGCACGAGATACCTCTTAGTAACCGAGTTCGAGGACCGCTCTGCATTTTACGGACCGAGTTTTCTTCGCTCAGATTTATGACCCCAGCACAAAGCGCGCAGGGGCCATACATCATCACCTGGCTATAGCTGGTGTTTACTGCAACGAAAAACGGTTTATTTCGAGAACAGTGACAATACTCTAACTCAGTTTGGGCGGTTTATGTTACTGATAAACCAAAAAAATGTATGCTAAAACGTGTATTTCACGCCACTCAACCAAACATTACTAAAGGGAGAAACTGATTCACCGAGACGTGCCGTATCTGTATAGCATAAATAATATATAGATTTAGCCAAGTCTAAAAGCGGAGCTCGAATTTTTTTTTTCCCGCACGTCTCAAGGGCACAACGCCTTGCTCCGGCCGTGACTAGAACCCGGGTGGTCCGACTCGGAGCCCAGTGCATTGAGCACTGGACTACTGAATAAAGCCGTAGCGTTGGCGTGCCCGTGGTGCAGTTTACCACGCTATTACTACGCAAATTACTTATTGGAGATGATCCGCCATCAGAGTGAAATGACTCACTTTTCGCTATAAAACGTTATCATGAAAGATAATGCAGCGGGATGCTGAATTGAACGATCTAATAATTGTGTTATTTACTTTATTTATACGGTACTTTATTATGCATTTCCAAAAAATTCGCAGTCACTCATGATTTCAGGACAATCTATTTCCCTTTGAATAGGCAATTTTACAGTTGTGTACTTGGTTACCAAGCCTTTGATTTGGAGTGAGGCTGAAGGTGACCTTGTTAACGTTGTGATAGAGATCAGTATCTAGTTAGCATGATAACAAAGTAATTTGCATTTGAAAAGGAGCAAGGGGTGTATCATAACAAGGTCAACCTTAGCCTCACTCCTGTTTAAAATGGACAATTGAACCCGTATTCTTGTTCCAGCACGCAAATATCCTGCATTAAGAAGGAACTGGGAACTGATAACTCTTAACACGTTTGATAAGATATCTCACAAACCTCAACCGACAGTAACTTAATTTGAGCGTAAACATGGATATCCAGAGGTTTTCGCTGTACATCCTATTGTTTGTCGCTTATCTAGAAGAAACTTACGGCTCTGAAGGTCAGTAAGGCAGATTGCTAGAAGTTACACCTTTGTACTCTTTGAAATAATTCGTAAGTGTGCGGTTGACGTCGGATGAAGAGGGTGCAACTTAATAGGTGTAACCGTTTGTAAAAAAATATATGTCAGAGTATATTTTCAAGTCAAACAAACCTTGCGATCAAACAATCATGTCGTGCCGGAAGTAAACTAAATTAACAACGAGATTTCTCGAAATTGTTTCAGAAGAACCGATACATTTCAGAGAGCTAAAGTTCTGTATGGACTAAAGAGAATCAATTTCTGAATAACTACGTTCATTAATATACTTTGTAAATCACTGAAATGGCCCTCAGTAATACTAAGATCTGCATTTTGTATCCTTCGTATTTCTTCACGCCAACCAGCTATTTTCATCTCCCATCATTTTGGCATTTCACTCCATAAATGCTTTGAAGCCTTTTATTTCGAAATCAACAGATTTCATCTGGAACAAAGAGTATTAGAAGATTCTTTCTTTATTCGAGTGGATAGCATTGTTCAAATACAAGATAATTTGTACTCTTTTGTGGAATATAACTGCACCTTGAATGAAATGTTGACACAAATATATCTATTCCCAAGCTGGGCTGCTTCCTGATAAATTGGATTGCAGGGGCTAAGAATAAAAATAACAGACTTATGATACTCTCAAATTATACTCGAACAAAGGCAAAGAGCGTTTAATTATTAAATTGTCTGCACACCTACTGAGAGCAATTCAAGAGGAACTGTTTGTAGAAGGTTGATTGTCTGGAACTGATTTCGTGAAAGGGGTTTCTCCTTCATTACCACTGAAAGCAACTGTAGCATTCGCTTGCTAATCAAATAACACAAATTCCACAGACGATTCCCAACCAAAGATAACTGGCCCTCGATTGTCTTGGACAATTGGCGCTTAATACGGTGCCGATTGATACAGGTTCATAGACAGGCTTAGTTTGTTCCCTAAATACCCCGCTAGCTCTCTCACTTTGTAAGCATCCTGTTCTTGATTTTCTTGACCATCTGTGAAATATAAATTCAACTAATTTACATTGATTCCTGATGAACTGATTTCGTGAAAGGGGTTTCCCCTCATTACTATTACAAGAAAATATAACACTCTCTTGCTAATCAACTCACACAAATTCCACAGACTATTCCCAGCCAAAGACAATGGGCCCTCTATCAGTTTCTATAAAGCAGTTTCTCGCCTGGGGGGTTAAGGCTGTCCACAAGTTGCTTGGCAATTTTTGAACAACTTTTCAGATTTGGAGCAACTTTTAGTCCTTCGAGCAACTTTTCGGATTTCGTGCAACTTTTTTTCTTTTTTGAATAACTTTCTTGCTTTTTTAAGGCAATTTGTGACTAAAAACCGCCCATTCAAGTTCTGATTTAAAGCATCAGTTGCTTGTATGCATGATTTTGCGTAAAATACCTTTTGTAAACAAAAAACACTATTCCCCTAGTGGTCTGCTTGTGGTAGCAGCCGAAGGTGGTCAGCGGATGTGCTGTAAAATTCAAAATGGCGGAGCCGAGTGATTATCCATGCTTGAGCTCGAGTGAAGATGATTAAGATTCAGATCCTTTAGAAGTAGCTGCTAGTGCTGGAGCTAGATTAAGTACTCCAGAAAAAGCCAGTATATCTCGGAAAAGAAAAGTGCAGACTAATCCAGCCGAAAAGAAGAGAAATGTGCGTGGATCAGTCGATCCAAATGTGTCCGCGTGGAATAGAGCGAATGAGTTTAAAGACCAGTGCCTAACCACAGTGTCGGGAAATTTAAGATGTGACGCCTGCAGAGAAAGTCTTCAAAAAAAAAAAAAGTTCTGTCAAGAAACACGTATTATCCATAAAGCAAATCAAAGCGCTGGAGAATATTAAGAAAAGCAAGGAGAAAGATCCAAATATCAAGGATCTTCTTGCAAAAACAAGCGGAGGAGCAAAAGCATCCACATTACCTGAAGACATGATGCTCTATCGATATGAGCTTGTGGAAACTCTACTGAAGGCAGGTATTCCCCTTTTAAAAGTCGACAGTTTGCGACCATTTCTTGAAAAATATGGTCATCGCTTGACATCTCGGAACCATCTAACAGAATTTATTCCCATGATTCGTCAGAAGGAGATAGACTTTGTGAAATCCGAAATAGCTGCCAACAGTGCTTTTTCTGTGATCTTTGATGGGAACACCATACTTGGAGAAGCGTTGGCAATTATCGTTCGCTTCATTGACAAAGATTGCAATATACAACAGAGGCTTCTCAAATTAGAAATTCTAGCCAAGAACATGAATGCGGATGAGCTTGCTCAAAGGCTGATTCAGTGCCTGGCTGTGAAGTATGGAATGCAACCAAGCCATCTTCTAGCAGCAATGAGAGATGGTGCATCAGTATATGAAGCTGGATTGCGTCAAGTCATGTTTTTCTTCCCCAATATTCTTAGTATCATCTGTTACTCGCACACAATCGATATTGTTGGGAAACACTTTGAATTTAGTGTCCTAGACACATTTTCTAGGTGTTGGAACACCTTGTTTTCTCTCAGTCCAGCTTCTCGGCTGTTGTGGAGGACAAGAACTGGCACAGCAATGCAACTTCATTCAAAACCAGATGGTGGAGCAAATGGGAAGTCCTCAATCAGGTCATGGGGTTGGGGATGTTGAGCCCTTTCTAAGAGAAAATGATAACCTGTCTCCTGTTTGCCGTGCAAGCCTGTTGAGATTTTTGATGATCCAGTTACTGCTAGAGACTTAGACATTGAGCTTGCTGCTAAGATTGATGCGGGCAAGCACTTTGTTCAAGCAACTTATTATCTTGAGGGGGATTGTCCCTTAGTATTTACTTGCTATGAGCGTTTGTCCGCATTAGCACATGCAATAGCCATTGAATCCTATCCAAACACTGAGGCCAAAGCTCGCCAACATGCAGGTAGAAATATGGCATTGTACAAACAGTTAGTTGCTCAAGCAAAGGCATGTATCAATCCAGGCTTCCGCTTTTACCAACAGAAATTCCATGTGCAATTCCATAATATTGTCCGTGCATTTAAGGCTGCACGCTTATGCTGCCCAATACAGGTGCAAGCACTACATTCAACTGCTGCATCAGTCCAGGAACTAAAGCAATTTAGTTTCATTACTGCAGAAGTTGTACAGCTTGTGGAAGAGCTGCCAAACTATCTGGATCTAGCCACTGCTGATGGTGCAGCCATTGAAACAGAGGAAGGCAAAGTACAGTGGGGGGCTACACATGCCGCTGCTCTCCCAAATTGATCTACTGCAGTCAAAAAGATCTTGTTGGTGCAGCCTAGTTCAGCATCAGCTGAACGAGTGTTTAACCTGCTGCAAAATGCATTTAGCAAGCAGCAAGAGGCAGCATTAGAGGAAACAGTGGAAACATCGGTCATGTTACGTTACAATGACAATAAGCGCACATGAAATCTTGAATTATATGTCTGTAGAGGACTAGCTGGTGGTGCAAAACATTGACCAACAGGGACAGTGCTCTGCACTAGATCCGCAAAGATGTAAATATTGAAAGACTATTTTTTTTATACCACATAAACTCGTATATGCCAGAGAAAATTTAAATATGTAATAAGCATATTAGCAAAGTTTATTTTGTTCGAATACAATCACGTGGTTATCGTAATAGAAAGCTCATACAGAGAATCAAATTTTTATGATTTGGGCTGAGAGAGACTCAGTCTTATAAAATTGATGAGTCAGTATGATATAATTATGTATAGAGTATCTATGCAAAGTGAAATCTCTTCATTAAATCTTTATTTAAGTTGTTAATCAATCTCTTACACTAAAAAAATGAAAACAACTTTTGAGCAACTTTTGGATTTTGGGGCAACTTTTGAGCAACTTTTAGAGTTTTGGAGCAACTTTTGAGCAACTTTTTGAGAAAATTGGAGCAAATTTTTGAGAAAATTGGGGGAACTTGTGGACAGCCCTGGGGAGGGGGAGGAGGAGGAAATATTAAAGCCATGCATCATTGCAAACAGGGATTTTCTATACATTTCTTATAATGAATAATCAAATAAAGTAGCGGCAATGGTCTCGTAATTGAGTGTCTGAGTAACTACTTTAGTTGTCCATTGTATAACCTTCTGTAAAGATGCAATGAAAAGGAAAACTAGCTTTTGAGAAGACCCACACAGTCAGGAGACACCAAGACTCTTAGTTCTCTTCTTCTTTATCTATAACTGACCAAATTGTTTCTCTCTCTAAAGTACCTTATTAGTGAACATGTGGGTAATGTGCTGACTGTCTTTGCAGAGTTTAACCCCTTGTTCAAAATTCTGACCCGGTCAAATGTATTTTTTTTCTACAAGTTCACTAAACACATCCAAACATGACCACCGACGAACATCTTTGTTCGAGAAACAAACCTGAAAAATAGAGTCAGCACAAACTATATTGTTAAAGTAAAATTACGAGTTCGACCTTGCGGGCTTCTGAACTTGATAAGACTCGCACAACAACTATACAATAATTAGCTAAACATTTTACGATTGAAATTAAAAAACTCAAAATAAAGTACTCAACACGACCAGACCAGTTCAGAAACAACAATCCATGTTCGAGTAATCGAACAACTAGAAGAGAAAGACAACAGTCAAACCTATTGTAAGGCGGTAAGACTGGCACAATCTTTGCATGCTTACCTTAAAAAACCTTGAATCGTAATAGCACTTTACAACACTCTCTTTTTCCATAGAGGCCTTTTCAAAGGGAGGTCGCATCCAAAATCTCCCTGTATTTACTTATCACTACTCAACAATTTAGTCTACAAGAGCAGCTTTCAGAACGTAGCAATCCGGCGACAACTAAGAAGGCAATGACGTTCTGTGTACCGCAAAGAAATTAACTAAACCGGTACCTTTGGCTAGTGTGTTTGAGGCTCTAAAATGCACGACTAAATGAGAAATAAAACCTATATTTTTATCTCCAAAATCACACTTAAGTAGAGCTAAAAGCCTTGATGACTACTTCAGCAAGAAACAACAACAAGCTCATACTAGAAAAACCAAATATACCTTTGTTCTAGAGGTACATCAGCGAAGGTTTGCGGACACATTTACAGGTTATATTGTTGCTGCCATCCTCGTAAAAGTAATATTCCCATCACAAATCTCCTTCCAAAACAGCTAATTATAAACTGAAATAGGCCTTTTCAAAGGGAGGTCGCATCCAAAATCTCCCTGTATTTACTTATTGCTATTCAACAATTTAATCTACAAGAGCGGCTTTCAGAACAAAACAATCGGGAACTAAGGAGGCAGTGGCGTTTTGTGCATCGCAAAGAAATTAACTGAACCGGTACCTTTGGCTAATGTGTTTGGGGCTCTAAAATGAGCAACTATAAATGAGACATAAAACCTTTATTTAGCTCTCCAAGATTACACTTAAGTAGACCTAAATGCCTTGATGACTACTTCAGCAAGAAACAATAACAAAGTGATACTAGAAAAACCAAATGTGCCTTTGTTCCAGAGGTACATCAGCGAGGGTTTGCGGACACATTTACAGGTTATATTGTCGCTGCCATCCTCGGAAAAGCAATATTCCCAATCACTCTTTCCTGCTATAAAAATAAAGTGCCCGCTTGAAGGGTTAAAATGAAAGCGATAATTATTTTAAAAATCAGCTCCATCTTCATTTGCCAGAGGTATACAATCGATGGCCTTTTTGAGAAATTTGATATTTGTTTCGTCGTGTTTACTGAGGCGTTCCTTGTTTGGTTTTTTTTTTTCGAACTCTTCTCCAACAGCAATCGCGGTTATTTTTCTTCACGGGGATTCTTATTTTTCTGGATAATCTAAAAATTATATAGATGTTATCAATATTGGGAGAAAAATTAGGATGGCGAAAGAAAAAGAAAACAGTAACCAATTCAACCCACAAGTATCGTCAGAATCGCTGGGGAGTCGAACTAAGGCCACAACTACATGTGAGAGGGCGAGTGTTCCCGCTCCACCTACTAAGGGTCTCCTTCCTCCCCCTCGAAAGTTTCTGATGAATATTCAGGCAAGTATTGATTGACGATCTTATCACTATGCTGGACTGGCTTGTAACGCAGCTCCGTGGTTTAAGGCACCATGGGAAGGTCTGATGTTCAAATTCTTAACGAAGTCTCAGATTATTCTTTTCATGTTCCCAGCTGCTTGCTCGTTTTTAAATAAAGTGCATATTTTCTTTTGGTACTCTGTCGAGGGATTGCCGAGCTCCCCTTAAAAATCTCATTTTTTTGTCATTGTCCCCATCTTGTCCCTATGACACTTGAAACCTAAAAAACAAAATGAACGCCCCATAACCCAGAGTTCTCACTTGGATTTCAGCCGAAACTAACATCGTGTGCAACAGAATTAAAGAAAACTGTGAGGGAACGATTGGTTAGTATCGATGAGAAAATTATGAATAAACAAACCAAATTAGTATATAGCAGATAGGTGAATTGCGCTTTTCGCACGCGCTAAGTAGCTAGTTCGCTTATTAGCTAGATTGCTGGTAATGACTGTGAAATACATCGTTTGACAACGACAACAACAAAAAATTTGCTGGATAGTTCTAAAAATTGAGCTCTATTTCTCTATACTCTTCTGAGATGTCCAAGCCCCTGAATATTAGCTTCATTTTCTCTTTTCCTTTTCAGTTGTTGGTTTTTTTTTCGTTTTGTTCAAGATTGTATTATTTCAGAAGAAATTTAGAGGAAAAAGAAAGAACAAATATTACAACCTTAAGGAGATTTTGTACTTTCTCGCGAGTCATAAGACAGGTGTTCCGTATTTTAAAACTCATTTTAGTGAGTAATTAGCCAAGTGGTCTCACGAACAGTGTGACGAACCAAAGAGAAAGTTGCCTTCGGTGGAATGAACAATTTTAATTTAATCTAGGAAAAGTGAAGGAAATCTGGGGAAATTGCGAAATTATGTTCTTTGCATGTTATTATACTTCCTTGTGAATTTCAAGAATCTGTTGTCAACTTTGGCCTTTATGTTTGAAGGTGCAGTTTCTACATTTCCTCAAGAGTCTCTATCAGCCTAACTGTTAATAAAATAGTTCAATTAATGTCTGATGGATGGTGCATTGACAGGGGATAGGAATAGCGCTTTGACGCAGCGCTTTGCAGCTTTACATTTCCTGAACTAATCAATTCCTAATGATTCAAGTTTAGGAATACAGCCTTTTTTTTTTTCAGTTTTTGTCAAGATCATGTCGCATCATATCGAAAGAAGCAGCCAGAATTTTTTTTTTTTTTTGCGTGGCGCTATACAATAAGTATAGGAAATGCTTTCGCGAAACATTATCTTCAAAACCAGCTTCTGCGAGGTAATTTGACGCTGAACAGCTAGGACCACCCAATTATTTATCTTCAGCTTTCTGGAAGACAAAAACGTACGGAAAGTTTCTTTGCTTTTTGTTCAGGCGCAAAAGAGAAAACTTGGCGAGAACGAAAGCTAATTCAGTAAAAAAAATTCTGCATGAACACTCTTTCGTTCAGATGCAAATTGACATAGGATCTTTAGCATAATAATCTATCTTACAAGAGACATTAAATTTAAACAAGATATTGCGCCCGTTTGGCCCTTCGCTAATACGCGTATATTTGAGTAAGTGTTGGAATAAACTTGGAACATAAGCACCAGCTCAGCTTAACCAAGGCGAAATATTTCAACTCTCCATAGTTAAAGCGGCACATGAATCGTTTTCTTGAACGTAACATTTGTATGATCGACCGATTTCGGATACTTACAAAATTATTCCCTGCTCTGAAAGCTTGATTGGTAATACCTATGAACTTCCTCACGCTGCTCAACTTCAGATAGAGAAATAACGAAACAAGTCAGACAAGTCGGGGTATTTTCCTTCATTATCATCAATTGACACGGGATTTTTATCAAAATCTTTCAAAATCATTCATTTATCGTACTCTTTTTGATTTAGAGAAAATTCACCTAACTTATCCATCATCTAGCATTTCCGTAATAATTACTAGAAACAACTGAAATTTAAAATTTTTTTGCTAAAACATTTACCTCCTTTTCTTTCATAAATTCGACCAGTTTCGTAAAGCCAGCGTGACGATCTTTTCCTAGAGGGCATAGGTACAAAAGAAAACATAAATGCGAGAAAGACTTCTATGTCTGACTGCTTTTTCTGTTAAGTTATACACCTGATAAACACTCGCTATACTGACTCCGCCATAACTTTGTATAACAAGATGAATCACACTCATTTTGATTAGTTTTTACTAATATTCA